TTTAGCAATCCTCCTGCCTCATCTTTGCCAAGTGCTGGTATTACAGGCATGCACACATCATGCCGGGCTTCCTGCTCTTTTGTTGGGGTGCTGGGGATGAGAGCCAGGGCCTTGTATATGCGAGCCGAGTGCTCTACACTGAGCCATGCCCCTGCCTTATAGTGTATAAAGGCAGAGTGTTCCTCTTCGCTGTGTGTTCCCCAGTAGTCAAAGTGGAACTGAGATCAGAGAAGCTGCATTTGGGTTCAGAGGCACTGGCCACGGGTGCTGCCCATGGAACCTTATGTAAAGCCCCTCCCCCTAGACTGCCCAAGCTGGGCTGATCCCTGCTTCCTCCTCTGTGGTGATCACCTGTTGCTCAGAGCCCCAAAACAGGAGCATCCTCTGCTATTGCTGGAGATAAATCCACATAAAGATAGAATTAAAAATAACTAGCCATCAGGCTGCATGGGAGCCAGAGGAGTGGCCAGCCATTTGGCTACTAGGCTAGCCTTCCATCCAGCTGATTAGAGAGAAGAGATGAGTGAGTGACAGGGACTAATAAACCAGGAGAGGTGTAAAGTGAGCTGCATGGAATGCAAAGCAGATGGACACTTGGGTTGGAACAGAAGGAAGAGACAGAAGTTTTAGGCAGAGTTTCATTTCTAAAGATACCAGTAACCTTTATTTATATACATATATTTTTTTCTGAAGAATATCAAAGTCCTTTCTGTTGGATTTTACATTTATTCATTTCTCTCTCTCTCTCTCTCTCTCTCTCTCTCTCTCTCGCGGGCGTGCACACATGTGTGGAGGTCAGAGGACAACTTCCAGGAGTCAGTTTTCTCCTCCCGCCCATGTGGGTCCTGGGCAAGTCTTGGTGGCAGGTGATTTACCCACTGAGCCATGTCACTGGCCTTGAGTTTATTGCTTTAAAAACAGAGATTAGGATTCTGATAAAACGATAGGAACGCCCAGGGAGGGCTGGGGAGATTACTCAGTTGGTAAAATGCTTGCCATGCAAGCATAAAGACTATAAGGCATAAAGTTCACTCCAAAGCACCAACAAGGAAAACAAACAAATAATCCCAGTGCTGGGGAGGTAGAGACAGGGTGCCTGGGGTCTGCTGGCCCGTCAGCCTAGCCTGGGTGAGCCCCAGATCCCAGTGAGAACCTGTCTCAAAAACATAAGGTGACCTACACAAGATACCCTCCCAACAATCCATCACGGATGGGGGAAGGGTTTGTCAGGGCACCCCATTCCTGAAGGGCAGCAGACAGCTGCTGGCAGGTGGGCTCACTTTCTCCAGTGGTATAGCCACAGGTAAGTTACCCACGAGCCAGCAAATAACCCCACATCCATGCTCAGGTGAGCAACGCTAGTTAAACTAATTACACACACACACACACACACACACACACACACACACACACACACACACATATGCACGCACGCACGCATGCGCACACACACCACAGACATGAACTTAGCGGGAAGACTGGTGGAGAAGAGGATAATGGAGAGGGACTAGACCTGCAAGAAAGTGTCAAATATTACATTAAAAACAAAACAAAACTGGGTGGCTCCCTTGGCCACATTCCACTTCATCTACCTGAGACTCAGGAAATTTAAAAGAAATAGAAAATAAGAAAATATCACTTTGGGGGAGAGGATTTTTCCTCAATTTTTAATGTGTTTGCCTGACACGTGCACAGTCCAATCCCCAGCACCACATAAATCAGGTGTGGTGGCGCACACCTTTAAGCCAAGCACATGGCAGGTGGAGGCATTAGGATCATGAGTTCAGGGTCATGGGGCTAGAGCATACAACCTGGACCTCAACCGTGGGCTACGAAGATGGCTCAGGAGGGAAAGGATTTGCTACCCAAGTATGAGTTTGGATCCCCAGAACCCAAGTACATCATTAGTGTTCATCTGTGATCACAGAGCTCTTAGACTGAGATGGGAAGCAGAGACAGTGGGTCCCTGGGAGCTAAGAGAGGGAGAGGCGAGGAGACCCACAGCTAGTCTGGTGTATGCACCTGAAACAAGCGACCCTGCTGCATACAAGGTGAGAGGCAAGATCCAGCACTGATGATGTGTCCTCTGATCTCTCCACACACTCCGTGGCATGTGCATGTGTATGTGTGTGCCTGCCTGAGCAGACACATACACGGGAGAAAGGGGCGGTGATTTTAAAGACCTAGACTTTCAGAAGGGAGTGACAATCCCTTCCACCCCTATATGAGCCAAGCCTGCACCCAAATCCTGAGCTAATGCCATTTTTAGGCCAATGTATTATGAAACAATTACACCTTAGATGTGTGTACAGAGGACAAAGACACCTGGCACGCACGCCTGAGTACACAGCACCCAAGTCTGTGGACAAGTTCAGACCCAGCTGCAGAGGCCACCAGAGCAGCGTCCCCCACGGCCATCACCTCTCCCCAGGTGTCTCTTACTCATCCAGAACATTGAGCAAGGAGCAGACTCCCCAACCAATCCACCTTCTTTTAACTCAGCGTGGAAGCGTGTTGGTCTCTTTCTAAAATAGTTCAGATATGACAGAGAGAAATTTAACGTAAACACATACCTATTTATGATTTCATACCTGGTGCTTGAGTCCCTGGGTGACTATCAAATTGTCAAGTTCTACTTTGTGTTAGGTTCTGAGTCAATTGATAAGTCATCAGCGATGTGTAAATCTATCGTATAGTTAGCTGAAAATTGCTGTCTTCTTTATTCAAAATTCTCAGCAGACGAGGGCATCCACTTCCCTATTCATTCTCTCCCTCCTATTTTTCATGTGTTTTATGAGCTTCTTTAAAATTGCATCTTCTGACTTAACTCTCAACAATTCAATATTGGCACAAAACAAAAAAAGGCTCACTATTCTTCCATATTTTAGCACTATGGTATTCACATATATAAGTAATGATAGATCTCACAGATTCACTTCAGGTTTATAATTAGAAACTATTGCATCTGGTAATTTTTTATACATTCCTTTGAATTTCCAAATGGTAAAATTGTAAAACCCACAAAAAGTGAAATATAGATTCTTTGACTCCACCGATAACCATGTTTCTTCTCAACAACCATGAGAATCCTTAAATCCTTCAAAAGAGAAAACCCAAGCTTTCTCTTCAACTGTCGCTAATGCTAAATTAAGCCATATTTCTCGATTTCCATAAATTTTAATATGTGCTGTCTTAAGAGCCCTGCACAGTTGCCAACTTCGAGTCATTAACTGTTTTCTCTACCTGATGTCTTCAGGAAGAGTGGTCACCAGGACATGGTGTCAGGGTTCACGGCGTCCAGGGGAAGAACAGGTGGCCGAAAAGTCACCTTCCATTCCCACGCTGGTGCCTGTGGTGTTGACACAAAGATGAAACCTTAGTGAGGTGCCGTGGCAGGTTAAGAATGGAATCTCTTGTAGCATAGCAGTGTGAAAAAAAAATCATTTTTATTTGTGTCTGCATATGTGTGTGTGTGTGTGTGTGTGTGTGTGTGTGTGTGTGCGTGTACAGGTGTGGGTGTATATACAGGTGGGAGCACGCAGGTGTGAATGTGTGTGCAGATGGGATCCTGCTGGTGACAGTGTATGTGCACGCACACATGTGGAGGCCAGAGGTCAAACTTGGGGTCATTCTTGGTTTGCCATCCATGTTGCTTTGTGATCAGGGTCTCTTGCTGGCCCAGGGCTCGCCAATTAAGCGAGGCTGGCTGGCCAGTGAGCACCAGAGATCTGCCAGCCTACATCTCCCTAGGACTGGAAGTACACTGCACCCAGGTTTGTTTGTTTAGGATTTATTTTATTTTTATTTATGTGCATATGTCTGTGTACATGAATGTGTGTGCAGGGGGCCTTGGAGGCCAGCTGGAGTTACAGGCATTTGTAAGCTGCTGGGAACCGAACTCAGGTCCTCTGGAAGAGCAGCAAGAGTTCTTTTTTTTTTTTTTTTTTTTTTTTTTTTTTTTTTTTGGTTTTTCGAGACAGGGTTTCTCTGTGTAGCTTTGTGCCTTTCCTGGAAGCAGCAAGAGTTCTTAACTGCTGAGCCATTTCTGCAACTTGATGTTTTTTAATGTACTTAAGATGGGGATCCAACTCAGACCCTTGCACATTCACAACCAGCATTTTATTGGCTGATCTAGCCCCTAAACTATCATTTAGAAACCACTCCGAGATCAGTTATTTACAACCTACAAAGCAGTATTTCCTCGGTGATTTTTTCCAAGGGCATTGTGTCTGTTCCCCTTCTTGGCCACTAGGGTGTGTAGGTGAGCCAACTATACCACTCAGCCCCACACCCCTTTTCACAAATGCACACAACCTAAGCCAAGACAAGCACATCTTACCCCACACAGTTTCAACCAGGAGCTGGGAAGAAGAACCAGGTTCTATTTATGGCAGAGCTGTTGGGACATCAGTGTGGTCCCACCAGCAGCCACAGCCCTGCCTCCGAGATGGAGCTGCTTTGATAGAGAGAGACAAGACGAGAGAGCAGAGGACAGGACTCAGGATGACCTGATGACTTAGCTATTTGTGCTGCCTATCAGCACGGGTGGGTCCCAGCCTTCCCAAAGTTCAGATCTGCGGTCCATAAAGTGTCCACCTGTTTGTGCAAACTTGTAAAGTCTTCATCTATGATCCAAAGGTTTCTGAATTTTACAACCCAGAGTTCCGTTTGAACTGCATTGTTCCGCATTCTCTTCTCGCTTTTCTGGGTTCTATCAGAATGCCTGTGGCTACCCAGAAGTGCTCACACACAGAAATGCTTCCTTAAAGTCAGCCACAACTTCTCTCTCACCTCTCACAGCTCTGCCAGGCGGCAGTGGTTAAATGAATAGACTGAGTCTAAAAGCCCCCGTGAAATCCCAGTGCCGGCTGTCACTAGCTGGGAGAGAAAAGCCTCCTCTAACACCTGGAGAAAGTGGCCTGTGCAGGTGAATCCTGCAGAGGCGTGTTCCTTTCTCTTGTGGGCTGTGAGCAGGTTGGCATATCACAGTTTATAAATGTCACCCGTCAAGGGATTCCAAGAGTGTTCGTTCATGAAAGCATCCGGTGTCGGGGGCCTGGTCCTTACTGTGCTCTTCCTTCCCCATACCTGCTTATACAAAATGATCCAAGAGGTTAACACCCAAGGAGAGAATAACACGGAGGCAGCAGCAAGCAAAAGAAGCCACACGGAGGGAGATGAAGCGGAGAAAAGAGTCCCAGTGTCAGTGGTACGTGCTTGCCTAGCAGGCTTCAGAAAGCCCCGGTTCAGTCTCTAGGAAAGGTGTGGCCCGCTAGGGGGACATCGCGGGCAGCAGTGTCCACACAGGTCCATAAACCCAGCATTCAGGAAGGTTAGCTGGGGGAATCCAAGTGCAGGGCTCACACAGGACAGAGCAAGTCCTTGTCTACGAAGAGAGGAGAGAGTTTACAGCCTGACACATACCGGTAATCCCAGCACTTGAGAGGCTGAGGCAGTGGGATTCCTGTTAGGTAGAGGCTAGCCTGCACAAGTCTCCAAACAGCAACAAATAGAAAATAGCAGAGCTCCTTGAAGTGGTGGAGTGTCGAGTTGAGAAGGTAACTCGCCTTTTCTGATATTAAGCATCTGATTCCTGTTTGCTCCGGTCCTGGCCTGGAAGCTTTCAGAGGCGATAATCAATCATGACTCTACCGAGCTGCAGGGGCTGCCTTTCTCAGCGACAGCGTGGTCCACATGGTTCCTGGCAATGACCCTGTCTGTTGCCCTTGAGTTTCCCAGGGCTGTTGAGAATGAAAAACGTCACAACCCTAGGTTCTCTGGGACTTACCAAGTCACAGTCATTGAGGCTGAGGACCCCTGAGTCACTTTCAGGGAGGGGCCACCTTGGACCTAAGGGAGGGTCACTCCAATGGGACCTGGAATGAGTTTTATTTTGTTTGATAATTATCAGAAAGAGGTCAGATGTTAAATCTTTTTATGTAATCAACAGAGTAAACCCCAGAAGAGCACACCATACTAGAAATACCAGAAAATGAAAACACTTGCTGTAAGCCAGCAGCTACCTGTGGTGGGAGCACTTGTAATACCAGCACTTGGGAGGCAGAGACAGGAGGATGGTGAATTTGGGGCTAGCCTGGGCTATGTGGCAAGACCCTTTTTAAAACAAACAAACAAACAAACAAATAAACAAATCAGGTAGCTAGCTAGCTAACTCTGCATGTTATCTGATCTATACATACTTGAAATGTAGATTTGGTAAAGGATGTCCACATAAGCTTTCTTTACTATAACTCCATCTCAGCTTAGCTGTCCTCAGCGTAGCTATTGGAAATGCATAACAAATTTAGTCATGGGAAACATCTACAAAGAACAAATGGACAGGTAAAATGTTGCCCCTTCCTTGCTCTTTCTCCTCTGCCCAGAAGGGAATCTGGAGTTCCTAAGCCCTCCAAGTACTGTGTGCACACATGTATGAGTGGTCAGCAGGAAACGCCTCAGGATATCCTTGTGGGAACCGCCATCAGAACGGGCACAGAAGATTTTATAGCATTAATGTTCAACTTAGATCTTAAGGAAATCAAAGACTCTTATGAGGACTATTTCCCTGCGGAAGCAAAAGCAAACGTATACCCCTTCTTTATAGGGCACCAACGACCAACCAAAGTCCAAGTCTGCCAAATTCTGCCTGGAAAACTGGGGAGCTTATTAGGCTTACTTACAGAGTATGAAAGGGGGTTTATTTACAAGCCCATGGGAGAACCCATAGTGTCCACACCACTGGTAGGTCTCACCCCAGTGCTTATGACCACCTCCTCATAGCCGGAGTCCTTCACTTCAGCTAACCTTCCACAGCCAACGTACCCCAGCACCTCCCAAGACCACAAAGCTATTTGGAAATAGAGCAAGATTATATGCAAATCATTGGCAGGTGCAGGAAAGAACGTCTGAGTCACAGGTAAAAGTCCAATGACCCTCTCCACCCACTTCTTCTATGAGGGACCATCTACAGCCAGCCAGCCCCAGTCCTGGAGGTCTCTGTGAGCAGGCACTGCTAGAGCAGGCACTGCTATTATAATGAAGGTGGCAGCTGCTGTGCTCACAGGGTGACATCCTACAATAGCAGTTAGAAGCAGAAACAAGGAAGGCCCCAGGTCTAAGGACTAGTCATCTAATTGGCAGTTCAAGTAAGCCCCTTAGCAAAGCAAACGACCTGTCGGAGGCCGTCCTCAGTCTCCACCAGACAGCCAGCAGGTGCTTCACCTCTCTTCCCACATGGAGATCATACCATCCCTTCCCGTTATCCTGGCTTGACTCTGCTCAATAATTGGTGATCACAAAGACCTTTGTATAAGTTCCATACAAGTTGTACTGAAAGGGCCAGACAAGGAGTCCATCTGCCACTCCTCAGACATGGCTGGCCCTCAGTGGGGTGCCCTGCCCTGCCTGGGACACTACACACACACACAATGGGTGAAAGTTAAGACAAGCTATGACTTACCACAAAAAGATCAAGGAAGATTAAATAACACCCAGGGTTCCTCAAACAGAGCCTGGACTTGAGCACAGTTGGCCCTCTTTGCCAACAAAGCATTGGCTCCCTAGGGATGCTCCTCTAGATTCCCACAGTTAATGTACTATCCATTTCATGTGGTCTGCTCCCACCTCCCAGGCTGCCATGGCGTAAATCTCACAGCTGGCTAGATGGCCAGTGGTTAGTTAGATCTTTCTAAAACAGATTTTTACCAATCATCTGAGAGTTCCAAGGGCAACATCCTGTCATCTGTAGCTCTCCTGATAGCAAGTCCTGCCTGTCCCATGTATAATACATCTCCACATGAGTTCATGTTACTCATGATACATACATACATACATACAGGCAGACAGACAGATATATTTTGCAGGACATTGGTTTACATTGTGTGAAGATGTGTCATTGTGATTGGTTTAATAAAAAAGCTGAACAGCCAACAGCTGGGCAGGAGAGAATAGGCAGGGATGGTGGACAGAAAGAATGAGCAGGAGGAGTTAACTTAGGCTCAAGAGAGGAGAAGAAAAAGGAGGAGAAAGAAGAGGGAGATGCCAGGAACCAATCAGCCGGGCAGCCAACAGCCAACCAGACAAGGAGGAAGCAGGAAAGTAGGACATACTAAATGAAAGAAAGGTAAAAAGCCTTGAGGCAAAACATAAATGAAGATAAATGGGTTAAATTAAGTTACAAGAGATAGCAAGAAATGAGCATAAGCTAAGGTCAAATATTCATGATTAATAATAAGTCTCCATGTAATGATTTGGGGGCTGGTGGTCCAAGAAAGCCTGCTAGAGTTAACCACAAATTTATTAGATGGCCCAGCAATTCTGATCCTAGACATCTACCCAAAACACAATAACAATACAGAGAGAGGGAGAGAGGGAGAGAGGGGGAGGGGAGCTGGGCATGGTGCACACTTGTAACCCAGAATTTTATGAAGTAGAAGCAGGAGGAGCAGGAGCTCCAGGTTATCCTCAGCTACATATCAATTCCTGGGCCAGTGTGTGTG